TTGTGGGAACAGAGCTGGGGTGAGGAGCGGGTGGACAGGGGTCGGAAGAGTGTCCTGGAAATGATCTAGCCCGTGTCGATGGAAGCAAAGACATTCTGCTGGGCAGAATGCAGGGGTGGGGACGACGCACTGGCCCGGGGACCCTACCTTGGAGGATGGGGGCTGATGGCCCGTCACAGGGCACCCAGGCTTTTTTAAAGCGCTCCTGCGACAGCTCGGGGAGGCTCGCCCTCCAGACACACGCCCGGGATGAGGAATTCCTGACGCTCAACCTTCCCAGCTCATGGAGCTCACGTGCTCAGCGGAGCCGAGGGAGCCTCTGGCCGGGGAACACATCACGTGCTGGAGACGTGATTTGACCACCACAGCCATTTACGGTCCTGAGTGTGTGCCTAAGACTGGGGAGGATGCCACAGGACCGCGACAGGCCCATGAAAAGGCTGCAATTACTACAAAGGAAAAGGCCCAGAAAAACATTTTCAACACAACAGCGTCTGGTGGCCATCAGGGTAACAGGTCGCACGGATTATAACAAGATCATATTTTTTGTTGGGGTGCCGTGCGATCACAGAACCGTTAGCTAGAGGCCCCCAAGATGGGTCTAGGGGGTCAGGCGAGGAAGAGAGCCCGAGACCGGCCCCTTCCCTGCCTGCGGTCAGCGTGGTGGTGGTCATTAGAGATGGCTGCGGCTTGGCTCTCCGTCCCGGGGAAAGCTGGCAACACAGAAGCCGTCTGCCCCGGGATCACGGAAGGGGCTGGTTAGGGTGACCTGGAGGCCGTGAAAATCAGGCAATAAAACTAGATTATCAATTGCTATGCTGAAGCGTCAATGTGGGGTAATTAACCCCGTTCGGTGCCCCCACAACTGTTTTCAAACTAATGCGACCAATAAAGCAAGAGGTGGGTGGGTGAGGTCGTCGCTTACGTGAGGTTCTAGCAATCACGTATCTGTGGTGGCCGGGCGACCGACCTGTGACCACAAACCCGGTTATCCAAGCAAGCTGGACGTGCTGGGGACACAGCACCTCACCCGGCTCTCAGGGGCTACTCCCCAGATCCCCCCACAGCAGCTTCCTCTTTACTCTCAGAAGTGTACACGCTACTCCGCGTTGTTACCAACGTCCGAAACACAGCAATGAGACCACGACTCCAAACAAAATACAGTACAAATTTATTGACTCCAATCATTCGTAGTCAAGATGTAAGCAAAGGAAACGGACAACAGAATTGGATACAAATAAGCCATGGTTTAACGTTAGATAGAAATCCTATCGGACCAGGAGTTTTCAGTTCCCAAAAGCTCATTCCTAAATAAAACCAAACAATGATTTAGTCTGCTAAGGCATCTGACGACAAAATATACACAATCTGTTTATAACCACATTTGTTTAATAGTAAGCATTACTCAATGAAAAGTTTTAAGGTATTGGATTAATGTCAATAAGAAATTATCCCCAGTTGAAAATCAACATTAACCAAGTGTAACTTTGTGGAAAATCTGACAACAGCACTAATAAATGACTAGAGAGCACTCAGTTCAATTATTTTCAAGATTTACAGTAAAATACTTTGGTTCCCAAACACCGGTCTCTGGAATTCCTGAAAACCCGGACACTGCCCCACGCCCCTGCCTCCGGAACGTAAACGCGACCGGCCAGTGTCCCCCGCCACGCAGAAGCAAACGTGGAGACGCGCTGAACAAGCACGTTAACCATGATGGGAACATAAAACTTCTTAAAGTGCTAAAGCCACAAAAGAAAACCCTATTTTTTTTTTAAACTTTAAAAAAAAAAAAAAAAGCCAGTGTTAAAGAACTTATTAAATGTACTAGCATTATTTAAATAACTTTTCACAATTACTACAAAAAACATCAATGAGAAATCAGAAATCGACAAAGCGGACTTGTAATATCCCAATATGAATTAGTGCAATTTATCAAGAAACCTGCTATGCATGACATTTAATTGTTTTTGCGGTGAGAAAATTCAAATGCCTTTAATTCCTATGGTTCTGGATTCTGGTTGTACACACACACACACACACACACACACACACACAGAGCGGATTCTCCTGTCTCCCTCCCCCGGATGGGCCACTGGCCTGCAGAGAAGGGCACATTTTATTCTGGTCGTACAGCTTCTCCCCTCGTCAGCAGCAGCGGGTGCGTGCGTGGGTAAGACCAGCACTGACTGACAGGAACTGGAGCATGTTTTTCAAAAGGCTGTTAGGGATCCGCTCCAGAACGGAAAACCGAGAACCACACACCTGCCCCCCACAGATGCAAAAGTGACATCATGGTTGAATTCTTAGAGATTTTGGTAAAACAATAAATGCACACTAGCCATAACTAGTTTTAACGGTGAATATTCTGTTAAGTTGAAATATTACTATAAAAAATGCACACTATTTGTAACCTCCATTGCTGACTTAGATAAAAAGGTGTTTTAGGTTTTTCCTCTTCCCCTCTCCCACACGAAGAAAATGATTCAATATCGAGTTCTCAGATTAACAAAGAATATATTAAAACATCTTACATTCTTTTCCACAACTGCATAAAAAAAGGCAGCCTGAATACTTACAAGGGATAATGAGATTTCTACGTTTTCAAAAATTAATTCTAATCAGAAAAAAACGTTTTCGAGAATACCTTTACAAGCCGGAGTCCTAACAATGAAAGACCAACCTGTCTCACAGACTGAGGATCTGCCCGCCGTGTGACATCGACATTCTTAAACGGAGCGATGCGTGTCTTTCATTATTTTACTTCCGAACATTTAAAATAGTTACATGAGTGGAAGCCTATTTTCTTTATTGACCACCAAAATAAACTCTTTCAGCCTGACGCTTTGAAGGTAGAGTATAAAAAGTAATAGAAAAACCAGAACTGCATTATAAATGTTTTTGGCTCAAAATTTTATTTGAAATCTTAACGCTCCTTGCCTAGACAAAAACGTGAAAACGAACGAGACAAAACACTGGCGAATTTCAAAATCTAACAGATAAGCTGAGCCTGTATTTAGATCAAAAATATTTTTTTTACTGATTAACATTATTAAAAAATCTTCAAAAACGTAGCATAAAGGTTCAAGTCCTGGGATACTGGATTTACAATGCCAAGATCACGTGTGCCGTGGAATTATCGCACATGGTCTGACGGCCAGAAGCAAGGACTACTCTGAGAGAAACCGTCTTTTCGGAGAAGTGACGGCTGCCAAGGTGTTCAGAGTAAGAGAACAGCACATTATGCAGGGAATTAAGTCAATGAACAATAACCCACCCAGATGTTTCTCGAAACATCACACGCTTTAGTTTCATCTTTAAAATGCATAGATTTCTTCAAGAAAATATAAAGAGGGCAGTAAGTGGTTACTGCAACTTCGTTTTCTTTTCCTTTCTCCAGCAAATTTAGGTAAGAACAAAATTAGAAAGGGGCCACTCAGTTTGTGACTTGTGATAGTTTTCACATGAAAACAACAAAAGGCAAAATTTCACATGGGAGTTCTCTGATCTGCAAAGCCAGTCGGCATTTTATGAAAATGCTTGCGTTTCGATCAGAAGTTGAGAATGTCTTTCCTACCGCTGGTGTGGGATGTGGGTGACAGGACAGACGAGTACGGAACTCTTTTCTGCTACAGCGGTACACACTGAAGTACTCAGCAAATTATTTCTTAGTCACAGTAAATTTTTTTTTTTTTTTTTTGAGAGAATAGCTTGCAAAAAAAAAGAACTTAATAAACTTGGGAGCCTTCGTCCGTAGTACTGCCTTGGAAAGATTTTGCGGTTTCAACAGTATCTCCCCTTGTTCATACCTAAACCCTCCCCTGTACGAGTGAAACAGAGTCTTCCCTTTAGAAATACCCGCCGAGCTCTGGGTAACCCCTACAAGCACCTTTTAATCACAACTTATACAAACTAGAAAAAAAAAAGGCAGCCCACACCCTATGGGCCGAAACAGGTAGCAAAACTCATTTTGGACCCTCGATAGTGCTTTGACACAGATTTACGAAACGCTGAAGCAGGGACTCGGAGCAGGATGGCGGCGCTAAGGACATCTCACCACGACGAGCTCCAACCAATCCTAACAGAATGGAGGCAGGAAATGGAACGCTACGAACACTGGTCTTGAGAGCGCGTGGAGACCCTGCGTGGTGTTTTCCCCCGGGGCCCATCTTGGGGGTTCCGTGCTGACTTGGGACTCACAGCAGATGTCCTGACTGGGGGCGTGGGACCGAGGTACTAAGCGTCTGTCCCAACCTTCACTGTTCCTCTAACACAGTTCAACTCAAAAGGAGTGCGTGCCTCATGCTACCTTTGTTGTCTGTCCCTGACGCACTCAGATGTCCCCACTGGTGACAGCATGAACCGGAGGAGACCCAACCCGCCCAGCCCTCCCAGCACCGGTCAGAGCTGAGACCGGAGCCCCACGCCCATGGCACAGTGGTTGCGATGACCACGCCTGTCGCCACGGAAGCTTTTGTAAACGGGCTTGGAGGCCTTCCAGAAACCCTCACCTTTTCATTTCCCAAATCTTCCATCATGAGTTATCGTAAATGACCCAAGAGCAAGCTTTTGTTACTTCATAAAAATCTAAATATTACTATTGCTGATTTAAATTTCTCACCGTTTTCATACAAAAAATTTTTTTACAGGACCACAAAATACCAAATATTTATTGTTATCAAGTGTCAGGATAACTTATTAATAAAGTTGAGGCTTATCATTGTTTTATTGCTAAAGTACCCTAAGATCTAACTCGAGGCTGCCAACTATACTCACTTGCTCCTGACACGCCGCGGCCTTCGGAACGTGGCCGAGATTGAACTAGAACTTAGGCGTCTGACAGAATCGAAAGAAATACTTGAACCGTATTTCACTGACTGCGAATCAGTAAAAACCAAGACCACCTCCGGGAGAAGATTACACTGACACCGTGGAATGAGGAACCATGCAGACAAGTGAGATCAGTCAAAATTCAACAGGAATGAGGTCCAACCATCCCGTGACGGAAAGGTCCGACGCACGACAGGCTTTAGTCTCCCTAGGCTGAGTGAGGACATCATCACTAATTAGTACCAATTTCCCTCCCAACTTCTATTCAAGCGTAACAATTTCCAAGCTTTATTATTCTCTTTTGAACAATATCTCGCTTCTGATGCACGTTTCCCAATTAGGGTCGCACTCTGGAGACACCGCCCCTTCCGCGACAGGTGAGGAGGGCCGGCCTTTCAGTTGTGGCTTTGCTCGTGACTCCAGAGGCTGAAAGCCGTCTTGAATGTCCTGTGGCACAGTTTACACATGAACTGTCTCTTAAAGGTGATCGCAGAAAGGGGGGGCGCGTGGTAGAAGAGCGTGTCGGACTCCTGGGGCACGAACAGCTTCTCCGTGGCGGGCGCGGGGCTCTCGGCCACACCCGTGGGGCTGTCGGGCTCCAGGGGCTGGATCTTGGGCAGCGGCGGCGGCGGGGGCAGCGGGGGCGGGGACGGAGAGTTTGTGGGCACGGGGCAGGCCTCCGAGTCCTTATGCGCCGAGTCCTCCGTGGCCTGAGACATGTGCGACTGGAAGTGGCTCCAGAGCCGGAAGTTGGTGCGGAAGGCTTTGTTGCACACGTGGCAGATGAAGGGCTTCACGGAGCACAGCAGCTCCTGGTGCCGCTCCAGCTGCTTGTGCGCCGTGAACGTCTTGCCGCACTTCTCGCAGGGCCACAGGCTGGCGTCCTTGCTGGAGCCGGCGTCCTTGGGGGCGGCGCGGGCCTCGGGCGCCTCCTCCTCGGCCTCCTCGGCGGGCTCCTCCTTGACGTGGATCTTGAGCTGCCTGGAGAGGCTGAGGTCTTCGGGCAGACAGGAGTCCTCCGAGTCGAAGTTCACCTGCTCCGAGCAGTCGCTGAAGGTGGTGTCGTCTTTGGCAGTGACCGCGTGGTTGGCCCTATGGGGCTCGGGCTGCGTCGGGGGCCTGGCGGCGGCCGTCGCATCCCCGTTGTGCTCCAGGACAGGCAAGGAGAAGTTCTCGGCCGGCGCCATGGTGTTCTGGTTATGGACCTCGACCTGGTGCCGCCAGATGCTGAAAGAGGACTTGAAGGTGCGCATGCACTCGAGGCACGTCAGCTTCTTGTACTCACACCTGCCCTCGTGCTCCTGCTTCAGCTCGGGCGAGAAAAACCTAAGGCTGCAGTAGGGGCAAACGGTGGCGTTCCTGCACAACCGCTCGTGGTTTCCTTGCTCTAGAAGAGAAGAGAGCTTAGCATTACAGAGGCGGCACTGGTAAACCTCCTTGTTCTCTACCGGCCTCTCCAGAGAGACGTGCTCCCTGGGCTTGGCGGCCCTACTGACGCCAACGGGCTTCTCTCCCGGGTGCATTTTTATGTGCTGCTTGAACTGCGAGAGGAAGCGGTAGGCTTTTCCGCAGTACGAACAGACGTACGCTCCTTTGGCTCGCGACCGCAGGTTCCTCTTGATGGCCTGGGCCTGGGAGCTACTCTGGCCCTGAAAGCCAGCCTTGCCGCGCCTCAGCTTAATGATCAGGGCCTTCTTAATCTCTCTCTCGCGCACTATGTCAATCAGCTTCCTTTGGAATTTCTCGTCCAAAACGGCATGTGAACTAGAGGCCGGCGACGGGTTCTTCACTATGCCGTGCTGGGTCTGACAGTGCGTCCACACTTTGAAGTTGGTGTGAAACCGCTTGTGACAGATGTCACAAGCGTAGGGCTTCTCTGGGTTATGGTACATGTTAACGTGCCGGTGAAGACCCGCCGTCGATCTAAAGATCTTAAGGCAGTGTTTGCACTTAAATTTTTTGTTGGGTCTTGTTCCCTCCAACTCACCAAATTCATCTTTGTTCAAGTCAGAATCTGGAAACTCTGCATCGGGGAGGGGAGGGCTGGAGCCCTCCTCGAAGGTGTCTTCGGACGCCGGAGACCCGTGCTCGTCCTCCTTCACCTTCTTCAGCGGCAGCCTCCGGTCCGCCTGGAACCTTCTTTTTGCCGGGAGCCTGCTCATGTCCTTCTGGTCGTCTTCGGTTTTCACGGGGAGGTCCCTGGCGGCGGCGGCGGCGGCCGGGTCTCCCACGGTGACGCGGATGATGTCGGAGGGGTCAGACAGCGGGCTGCGGGGCTCCGTCTTGATGCGGACCTCGGTCACGGCCGGCTCGCCCTCCCTGTCCGTGGGCTGCGAGGCACTGAAGGACCTGAGGCGGTGCGGCTGGGGCGCGGGGCTCCGCTCGTCGACGGCCGCCTTCTCCCCGCACTCCTTCAGGGCCGACTTCTGAGACAGGGCACAGAACACGCTCCCCGGCACCTCGCCTGCCCCAGAAGAGGGCCCCTGGGAAGACGTGAGCTCCATGGCGGGCGAGTAGACGGGCACCTGGCTGTCCATGGACAACGAGCGTCTGAGCAGACTCTTGACGAGCGGGCCGCTCCTGTCGATGCCGGGCTTCCCGGGCCCCGCGCCGCCGGACGGGACCACCAGCCCCAGCCTGGAGTAGTACAGCAGGTTCCTGTCCTCGCCCTGACCCCCTCCTTTGTGCGTCTCCTTCAGCACGTAGGGGGTCTCCGACGCGCTTCCGAGGGACAACACCGGCGGCCGCGGTCTCTTCAGAGCCAGCTCGATGGCTTTGCCTTTGGGAAGTTTATCGTCCGCGGCCTCCCTGTCCTGCAGGGGCCTGGAAGACAGCGGCGCGCTCCGCGTCCCCAGCCCGCCTCTGCCGGGGTCCTCCAGAGGCCCCGCGCGCTCCACCACCTTCGCGAAGCCCACAGAGCCGTCTCTCGGCCAGCCCTTCTCGGCCAGCGGAGAGCCGGGCAGCGGCTCGGCCGGTTTGGGGACGTGGGGCTTACCGGGGCCGGTCTTGACGGCGGTGCTCGGGGAGGGCCGGGCCGGGTGGCTTAGGTCGGGCTGGTTCTGACTCCCGGTTTTTCCCTGGGCTTCGTTTCTACTCTGGCACACGATGACGCTTCTCTTCTGAGAACTGCTTTCATCGTCCTCGATGAATACTTTCTTCCTGTTGGGACACGTCGGAAAGGGGGCCTGAGGGGTTCTGGAGACGATGTTGGTCAGGAAGGAAATCCCGAGGCTGTAGCCGAGCTCCTGCACGGCCGCCAGACTGCTCTTCTCGACGAACAGGGACGAGGAGTAAATGTAGTTCAGGACGTTATCGAACGCGTCCGGCTCGCAGAAGTCCAGCTGGAAGACGGTCTGGGACTCGTTGTCCTTGCTGGTGAATAAGGTCTGGAAGTACTCGCTGCTGGCGGCCAGGACGTTTTTGTGCGCTCGGAACTTCTGGTCACCCACGATCAGGAGCACGTCGCACAGCTGTCCCTTGAGGCGCTCCTCGTTGAGGGCGCTCAGCAGGGAGATGGCGTGGGCCGGGTTGATGTAGTGCAGCAGCCCCTCCATCGCGGGCGCCCACCTGCAACACAAAGCGCACGGTTACTGGGGAAACGCGGCCGAGAGCTCTCCGCGGGATGGGGCGCTCCTCCCCGGCGGGACCCCAGCGGCGCTCCCGCGGACGAACGGGCTTACTTCGACAGCACGAGGAGCGGCCGCGGGGGGGCTCGGGGCTCGCGGGGCGCGCCGGTCACTGGCTGAGCGGCTCTGGGACGGGGGATCGCAGCTGCGGTGCCCTCATACCAGCGGGGGGCTGCTGGGCCTCGGCGGCTGGGCGGAAGCACGGTTTGCAAGGAAAGGTCTGCTCGTTAGGGGTCTCATCCGTTCGAGGCTTGGTTCTAGCCCTTTCTCTCCGGAGAGGAAGCATGAAGAACCAGAGCTGCTGAGGCCGTGATTCTGAAAGTCAGTCAGTCTTATTGCGGGAGGCACTTATCCACCACGTGAACTGTGACCCCTGGGTTGCGGGGGGCGGGGGTGCCTCACCAGACCTTTAAAAACATGGAAGAATCTGGAAAGAGAAAGAATTTCATTTACAGATCACTCGCGCATCGCAGGGTTTAGCCAAGGTCAGAACGTTCAACACCGGAGAGCCTGGCTGCCTTCTCATGCTAACCCCTGCAGCCCCGAGTGCTGTTTTCTTACCAGTTCCCGTTCTCCGCGACAGCACAGAGGGAACTGTGTCCCGATCTAAACACAATTACTGCTCCTTGCAAATTAAGGGTCTGAAATGAGATGTCACTGTCATTCTCTTCCGGTCTAAAGGTGAGACGGGAAGGCCTGGTGGATGGTGCAGGCCCGGGCACAGGCGCCAGGGTGAGAGGCTGCCGCCTTCCCCGCTGAGTACCAAGTCCCTCGCGTGAAACGGGTGGGACGACTGTGCCCTCCTTTAGCCTTGGGGCAAAGGGTGGCTGGGCTAGCATCTCGTACAAGGCAAACATTTAATTTGGTATCAAAGAAAAAGGTCCCTATTAATGCCACCCATGCTCTCAACAAAGGGAAAGCCATTTCCCACAGAAACAATCGCAGACTCCAAAGCCGACCCTTCACTCGGGCTTCTGTTACTAGAACACCTCATCTCTGCTTTGACTACAGCGTCTTCTTTAAAACAGTTATGAGGTTTGGGGCACTGGGGGTCTCAGATGGTTGAGCATCCAGTTCTTGATTTTGGCTCTGGTCACGATCTCGGTGTCGTGGGATCGAGCCCCAGGTCCCGCTCTGCGCTGGGTGTGGAGCCTGCCTGAGATTCCCTCTCTATCCCTGTGGCTCTCCCTGCTCTAAAAATGTAATAAAATAAAATAGTTACGACATTTATTTTTGAATGGATTCAGAGTAATTAAGTCTGTTGGTGGCAGTTTTCTCATTCTCCAGAAGGCAGGCTGTAAATGTACCAAACTCGGCCCCCAGGACACTGGCAAGTTCTCCTCTGGTTTCAAAGGCTCAGCCTCTGCCGGTCCGCCAGCACGCGGACTCTTGCCAAGAGCCCACGAAGGAGCGTGTGCTGGGCCACCGGCCTGCAACGACCAAGCGTGCTGCACGAACTTCTCTCCTGCTCTTCTGACTCCCCACTATGGCGCTGACTGAATTTAAAGGGCTCCGAGACACAACCACATCCAGGGACAATGTCCCCAAGCAGATGCCTCGGTCAGAGCGCGCGGAGTTTCTGCTCA